ACACACCGGGGTCGTCACAATGTGCGTTTTTGCAATTTACATATATGCAAAAACGCATAAAAATCTGCCTGCATCAGTAATCGCAGTTTTACTCCTACTGACTCAATGACTATTTGCTTGTTTTGATCAGTTCTCTTTTAATAACACCACAACTTTGGGCGGCTGAAGCAAATACAAACGTTTTTATTACCTTTAAATGCTGGTTTATCCAGCAGTCGACTACGATCCTGGCATTCGCCCCTACTTCCTTGTTTTTTTTTTTTTTCAGAGCAGAAATGCTAGGTGCTTGCCGTTTGCGTGTTTCTTCATTTTTTCTGCTTGATACTCATTATGTTCCTCTTAAACGGTTGCCACTTGTACAAGGAGATGCGCTCGTTAAGTGTGCCGAAGGACACTAGGACTACGTGTATAAGAATAGTCAATTGGGAAGCGGTTATCCCACTTCCTTTCGATGATTAAGCAGTTTAATAACGATTAAACTAAACAAATATGTTTGTGTTGTTTAGATACTTGTACGGTGAACACCAGCTGCTTCCAAACAAATTCATGGATCTCGAATAAAAATCATTGTAAATGAGTCCAGTGTAAATCGAAAATAAGCCCATCATAAGAATAACGTAGCGACCGCCAAAGAAAGTTCCCAATATCTGAAGTCTTATCCAATAACTTGCAGTAGTATTAGCCGCACCATCCAAAGAAAAGATGCAAACATATACTTTTTATGCCTTTTTTGCAGCTGTGCAATGCAAAAACGCATATTGACGAGGGGTTGTCTGTGTATCCGTGTGTCTGTGTGTGCGTCTGTCACACATTTTGATCTCAAGACCTGCAAAAGCTACAGGGCTGAAACTCTGGGAACTTAATCTACATGCACGTAGATGCCCCAACCCCAAAATGGACGCCATTACCGCATGGTACCCGCGTACGGGCCCGCCAAAATTCTTTTCGAGTAACTCCATAACTCCCGAATCTGACAAGCTAGAATGCTGAAATCTTAGGGGAATGTTCCTCGTCCAAGTATGTGTTAATGAGCTCAAGCCCATCCCTCGGGTAAGCGTGGTACCCGCGTACGGGCTCACCAAATTTCTTTTTGGGTAAGCTGATAACTCGGGAATTTGAAAAGCCAAAGGACTCTAATTTTAAGAGGATATTCCCCGTTCACCTAAGTCTCATTGAGCTCAAACCCAGACTCCGGGTACGCGTGATAACCACAGAAGGGCCCACCAAATTTTTTTTTTGGGTAAGTTGCTAAATCAGGAGCCAAGAATGCTAGAAAGCAGAAATTTTAAGGACGTGTTTCCTAACAGTTCTGGCGGCCAATTTTAATTTGCTTAGCTAGAAGCATTTGCTGAAAAAAACCGGTGCCGGTTAACGACAAAAGCTGCTGCGAACTATGCAAAAAACGAATCTTCGCACGGGCAGCCCGTGCGCTGGCCAATTATTTTGTATCTTAAACCATGATTTCTGCTATCACATATCGTGTTTATTATGTTTCTATCCAGCAAGCACTAGTTGCTAAATGCTGGTGCATTCAGATAGAAAGCTGGTTTTCGAAATTTAATTTGTGAAATACTCGTCTGTATTTTTGAGCTCGAAAACAGAATGCAGAAATTTCAAAAATTTTTTGTAATAGCATTATTTTATTATCTCACTCCTCTACGAAAAAAAATCGTGTACAACATGCAGTTTTCCTAATCTTCTGAGCAGTCTTCCGAATCAGCCTAGATATTTCCTTAGACTTTCAGATTCACATCATGTTGAGTAGACAAATCAACAGTCAGGCAAACCGCGCCTGTCATGTAAGAGCTTTACAGTAACATCACTAACATGAAATAGCCGCCACAAAGGAAAAAATGAAAACTGCCTATGGAAGGCAGAAAAGAAAAGAAAGATGTGCTCTGCCTTTCAACTTAGAATACACAGTAGACATGCTGCCAGACTCATCGTGAAGCACAAAGTGCAGTGAGTAGCACATCGCGTCCACAGTGAAGGGAAATGTTTCAATTCCTTCCTGTTCCTCAGCAGTTTTCGACAAGGGGGGTCTGTTCTGGACACTGTCACTGCTTGTAAGAGTTTACTTAGTCGCACTCCGATTCACTTTTTTCCTGCTGTGCATTGCAATTTTTTTAACAACTTGACAATTGCGACCTCGTCATCTGGTTTAATCCTGTTCTCAACAAGGATCAATGCAAGTGCGGCGAGGAACATGATCAGGCCATGACCAGCATCACCGAACATCACAGCGAACAAAAATGGAAATGTTATTATTGTCCAAGGCGCTGTAAAAATTCTAAAATTCATCAAAAGAATTAGTAGGAAAAAACCCACACATTTTTGATTCCGGAAGTACAACTACACATGCCGCGGCATTCTTCTGTGTGTGACGTATTAATAGACTGATTAACTGCGAATTAATTAAATTAATTAGTTCAAATAATTAATGAACAAGTATCTGAATGAATTAATTACAAATTAATTTGAATTAACTGCCGAGATTAATCAACAGAAGCAGACCAATCCTCTTGACAACGCTCGACCACATGTAGTAAAACAATGCTGCTCAAACTGAAGAAGCTGAACTTGGAAGCTCGCTGCTACCAGTCATATTCAACAGGCCCTGTACTAGCTAATTACCATTTCATTCAGGGGTTGAATCATTTCTTGCGAAGAAGAATATTTAATTCTGAAAAAGCTGTGGAAAGCGCTTTTCGCAATTTCAGTCGCTTTTGGCCACCAGCATAAACAAGTTACCGCTAAGATGACAGAACTGTGTCGATAGTTTTGGCGCATATTTTGACTAATTGCATTGCTTCTTGTTTAAGAAATAATAAAGTAAACTTCCGAGTCGAAATCGGACACTTTTTACTTGTTGACTTAATAATTCAGAGCGAAAGAGCCTGATACAGATGCATTTGAACTATGACTGCATCTCAGTATATTAATGACTCCTTATCAGTTCCCGTCGAACATTTCTCTCCACGGTGAGCGATTTTCAAAAATCTAACTTCAAACAAAAACAAGCTGAAATTGATTGAAGCAAACTTTTCTTGGCTAATGAAATCGAACTGTCTTCCAAAACAGTATAAAGAGAAACATCCATTGAACAAACGGTGGGTACTAACTGGAGGTACGCAGCCCAGGACCAAGCATCCCCAAACGGAGGAACGGAATAGAAGTGGCAAGACAAAAGCTTTAAAAGGAAGACCTGGATTGATTTCCCGGTAAGTTGCTATGCCGTAGGAGTCGACAATCATCTGAAAGGAGTGCGTAAACTTATTCAGTCGAAAATAAGTTGGCGGTATTTGACTGCATCCAACTTCGTAAAGGAATGACGGTGCCACCGAATCACCAACGCCCTGCGAAGAAATTTTTTGTTAACAAATTTATTCGGCTGCAAATCGGTCACTTAAAAGTGATTTCATGAGAGCGAATACCTCCAGTAATTTTCAAATATACTAAACATGTTGAGAGGAGCTATTAGTGCAGAACCGACCATACTGGTAGTGTCCAATGAATCTCGAATGTGTGGCACGTCTGCCGTTGGAATCCAGCACTCCGCAATTAGACATTTTTGCGTAACATTCACATTGAACAAATTCATCACTCCAAATATTGCCCTTATTTTTTGTACCTAAATGCACTTCATCAACATTTTTTGCACCGGCACGTAGAAGTGTGCAAAGATTCTCCGTTGGCAAGTGAGCGGCCGCAACGTATCAGTCGTAACTTCCTAAATCTCAGTTCTTGAAAATTCTTATAAAGTCACTGTTAATCATTCTCTTTGTATTTGTTTAAAAAATAAACTGTTGAGCATGTAGGTAAAAGATATCCCGAAAATTCGGCCGTACTAACAAACTTCTAAATAAACTATGTTTTACGATTACTGAAAACAAACTTTGATATCCCAATGACGAGCTTTACAAGCAGTTTCCCGAAGGAGTGCATCACGATGTTCGGTGGTCTGCTCAATTACCGACTGGATTTCAGCCACGCGCCCAAACAAATTTGTTATTTCAGCAACACGTTTACTAACTGAGTCTGGACAATCATAGAGTTTCGCTCGAAAGCTAAACTTCATAAACATTAGGCAATTAATCACTATTCAATGA